AGTGTGTGCCTGTAGTTTCAGCTACTTGGAAGGTTGAGGTGGAAGGATCTTCGATGCTGGGGTGGCCATGAGCACGCCACTGCACTCTAGCCTGGGTGACAGAGAGAGATTTCAACTCAAATAGAAAAAAAAAAAGAAAGAAAGAGATTCCAATGTCTATCACTACAGAATGGTTAAACAAACTATGGTACATCTATTGTAGAGAATTCTATAGTACAGATAAAAAGAATGAGGTGAATCTATATATAAACACATGAAAAACTCTCCAAGATCTACTGTCAAGTGGAAAAAAAGGTCAGTTACAACACTAATGTCTAATATGATCTAAGTCTAAAGAGATGCCCACCACATAGATAAACTGCAATGAGGTCTGCAATTGAAGGAATAACTAAGGGGATTTGGGTTTTATTTGTATTATATTGTATTGTATTGCATTTTTTGTTTGTTTTCTCAATGAAAATGAGTTCAAGAAATAAGGTGGATATTTGTGCAACTAATGTTCATAGCAGCATTATTCACAATGGTTAAAAGGTAGAAGCAAACAAAACATCAATTGGCAGATGAATGGATAAACAAAATGTGATATATACATACAGTACAAAGTTCTCCAGTCACAAAATGGAATAAAGTATAGATTCATGCTACAATATGGATGAATCTTGAAAACATTTTGTTTAGTGAAAGAAGCCAGATGCAAAAGGGCAAACACCGTGTGATTTTACTCATAGAGAAGTCAAATTCATAGAGACAGAAAGTAGAATGGTGGTTGCTGGGGGCTGAAGGGAGGGCAGGACTGGAAATTAGTATTTACTGGGTACAGAGTTTCAGCTGGGAAAGATGACAATGTTCTAGAGATGGATGGTGGTGATGGTTGCATAACAGTGTGAATGGACTTAATGCCACTGAACTGAACACTTTAAAAATTGTTACAATGGTAAATTTTGTGTTATGTATGTTATATCACAATAAAAAACATTAAATAAAAATAAGATAAAAGGCCAACATTGACTTGCACCTATGATCCCAGTACTTTGGGAGGCCAAGGCGGGAGGATTGCTTGAGCCCAGGAATTCGAGACTAGCCTAGGCTATATAGCAAGCAAGACTTCGTCTCTACAAAACAAATCAAAAAATTAGCTGAGCAAGGTAGTGTGCACCTGTAGACCCAGCTATTCAGGAGGCTGATGTGAAAGGATCTCCTGAGCCCAGGAGGTCAAGGCTCCAGTGAGCCATGATTATGTCACTGCACTCCAGCCTGGGCAACAGAATGAGATCCCAACTCAAAAAAAAAAAAGTAAGCAATTGTAAAATAACAATGATAATGAATAAGATACACTGAGCTAATGCTGAAGTATCCCTTTCCATTAAACTACATATATACTAGACAATATTTTACCAAAAAAGATAAATATATAACTGAGCTTAAAATAAAGAATGTATAACACAAAAGTGCCAGAAACAAAGAGGGATTGCTATCCAGAGACGGAAACAAAAGCTGAAATAAGGACACCTGTGAATCCCATGAACCAGATGGATAAAGACAGAGGTTCCAGGGCCAGAGTCTGAGAACCCCTTTGTGAACTCCACAGACCTGACTTCGGCCGTTGGATGGTGAGGTGTTCAAGAGGAGTCCCTTACGTAGGAGGGACCCTTGAAGATCTAGTCCATCCATACTAGAACTCAAAATAAAAACTTTCTTCAGGGAAGCAGCAAAGAAACCACTCATAGACCGTGAGAAAGAAAAAATTCACACATGAGTAATTAAAAACCTTAAGCCTGTGCCACTTATGGGTGTAGGGTCTAAATTTACACCACTCATGTAGAATGGAAACTCTAAGCTATAAATTTAGCCTATAAAATATTCAAGATTAGTGAAACACTCAGGCCCAGCAGAAAGGAACATAAGACCAGTCTCTATAAGGATATTTTCATAACTTAGGCCATGCAAGACTCCCACAGAAAAGAAAAGGGAGGTAGGTGTGCGTGACCAAGATGAGCTCACAGTAAAAAATGGAGAAACAACCCCAGGAAATACAGTTAGCATGTGTGTGCGTGCATGCACACACACATACACCAGAGTTAGCACCCTCAAAAACTGGAGATGTGAGAGCAGTCTGAAAGTGCCAATGCTACATATGGTTTAAATGGTTAAGGAGAGAGAAGATGAAACACAAAACATAATTCAGGTTTAAAAGGAAGAAGGTCGGCTCCACTTGGAATGTGAGGAGCATGAGGACATCAGGTAGAAGATGGTAGGAGACTACCAAAAATGAGTCTGGAGTCCAGGAGAAGGTGCCCGAAGGTAGACTTGGGAGTCATCATCGAGGGTCTCTGAAGCATCTTGAAGAAAGTATGACTGGCCCTGAGAATGGTCCCTGGAATGAGCCCTATGTGTAAGAGCAGAAAACTCGAAGGAGACCGGAGTATAGGCTCTACCTATCCCACCAATTTTGACAGCAGTCCTTTCCAGGAAAGGTTCTCAGATCTTCCTTTCCCCAGGAGATTCCCCAGAACCTTTGCCCAGTCTGTCTTACCTTGGCTCCGATCTGTCTCCTCCACTCTGTGGCAAGCTCCTGAAGGAGGACAATGCCATCCTAGTTGTCTCTGTTTTCCCCACATCTAGCACAGGGTCAGGTCCCCGTGGTGGCTCCATAAATGACTGTTGAAGCGAATGAAATTCATGCATGTGTTCTGTTGTGTTGTGGGAATTCACATTATGAATCCACAGGAGAATGGAACTCAGAAAGAACTGGTTTTTTCTTCGTCTCCCCCTCCTCTCTATCCCCTTCCAGTTCCTCATTCTGTGCTGGGAGAAAACATGCAGGTACTGTCCCTAATTCATGCATTAGCATGAATAGTGCATAAGCACCAGGAAGCATTAGTGAGGATTGTATTTGTGCAAGATAGTTCACACTTCTCCCCTCCTTCCATCATTATAAAAATTACCTGCTGTCCAAAGCACTTTGTAAGTATTGCCTTATTTAATCTTCACAGTGCTTTTACTAGTCACCACTGCAGATAAAGAAACAGAACTTCAGAGAAGTGACGTGACTCTCCCTGACCACAAAGTCATGGAATAGCAGGTCTGCAGCTCAAACCCAGACCTCTCTGACTCCAAAGCTACAGTTTCTGCCTCTCTCCTGGACCTCCCTGCCTGCTTCCTTCTCTTCTGCCCTCCTCTGTCCTCCCAGCTCACACTGCCTCTCCATCACCCCCTTCTAAGCTCACACTGAGTCTGAGTCATACGTTCTTTGGCAGACAAGTGGGGGTAGGGTGTGGGGTGGGGATGGCAGGGGCCAGTGGTGAGTACAAATCCAGGTTTGTCTTTTCATGGCTACAAGCATTGTAGTAGGGCAGGACCTAGAATCCATGATCCCTTCTGGGACACTTCTGGGGTCCTTAAGGTAAAGAAAATAGTAGGAAAAGGATCCATCTGCAAATACATGGCTACAAAGACTGGAAAATTGTCTCTGGACTGGCCTTGAGGACCAGACACAGAACCTGTACTTCCAGTGGATGGGATAGTGGCCCAGGGTGCCTTTCCTTTAAGACTGGGTATCCTGGGTCTGACTTTGCAAGGCTTATACTCCTGTCTCCTGGGCCCAAAACTGTGCCAAGCCTCAGTCCAATCTAGGGGGTGGAGCTCTGGATTGAGAGCCAGGAGACTAGGGATCTGGGCCTGATGGTGCCACCAACTTGGAGGACCATGGGCAAGACATGGCTCCTCTGAGCCTAGGTTCTTCATTTGTAAAATGGTATGATCATCCGAGGTCTGCCCATTTCTTAGGGTGTGTGCTTTCACATGGGGAGGGCTCTGAACCAAGGAGGCAGGGATAGAACATAAGAAAAGGAGCAGATGCTAGGGCAAGATGGTCACCACCAAGAGAGTTGCCACCAAGACGGCCGTTCTTTTGGCCTAGGCCAGGACCATTTCACTGAACACCTCCTTACCCACTCAGCAACTCTAACCCGGACATGACTGTGAAGGACAGGACCAAGACAGGAAAAAGAAGAAGACATGAGGAAGAAATAAAGTAGGAAGAGTGGTACATGGGGTTGGGGACGATGGTTGAAAGAAACTGACCTCCAGATAACAGGTAGAGAGGTTAGCACCCTGCATCCTGGATGGGTTCTAGCCCCGCTCAGTTTCTCACTCCAATGTGACATTAATTAAAAACAGCCTTCAGTTGGGCATCTCTGGGATTTTATAACCTTCTCGGCTACCTTTTCCACTTGACTTTCAAAGCCTGGCCCCATCACTTCATTGTCAGGAGCCCTTCTTTGATCCCCTCTCTTGCCTCCTTCTAGAAGTCTACCCCTCCCCTCTGGGTTGACAATCCTCAGATTAAGCTTGACTGATACTGTGTCACAAAGCAGGGGCCTTATTTGAATCACTTTTGGTCCCTCCTGCCAAGCACTTACACACAATAGGTGCTCAATAAACATTCTGTGATTTTTAAAAAATAGTCAAATGCTTGGAAGGTTGGATGCTGAAAAGGAACAGCCTGCTTTGCAGGTTGATCAAGCGCTTGGTCAAAACTATCCTCCATAGAAAGCCCTCCTAGATTAATCACCATCCATATACTCCAACAAAAAAGCCAAAGATCTCAGTCCTCACTGCCTTCCTCCTTCTCGACATCAGCTTCTGTTCCTGCTCAAAGGCTCCTCCAGTTGCCACTTTCCTTATCCAGCAGATTCCAACCCCACAGGCCTAGAAGTCCAAGGATCTTGGACCCAGCCTTCTGCCCTAAATCACCCATGCCACTGGGTGGTCATTCTGTTGACAAAGGAAGCTCTGTTAAAATACCCTGGAGTTGCTCTGCCACAGAAATCCCCACAGGAGTTCCTGCAGGTCACTGAATTCAGTGATACTCTGAGGGAGGTGCCAGGCATATGGACTCTTCATAAAGTCCATAAGACCCAGCCCCAATTGCCAGCCCTACCACCCACCCCACAACACATCTATGTGCACACCCTGCTCATGAGAGAAGAGAATCTCACCTTGATGCTCATCTAGTTTCCCCATGGTCTCGATCTGTTCCACCAGGTCATTTGAATTCCACTGGCTCATCCCGATAAGGATGGCATTCTTCCCTTCAGCCATCTCCTCTGTGGGAAGAAGCAGAGATGGGCATGAGCGGGCAGGACTATGGATATGTAGCCCCAATAGGAATGATGCCTGAGGGAGCACTCATTTCTTCCTTGAGTTGAAGTAGATTTCAACTACTGAAGGTGTCTGTAATTACAGACAAATATGAGACACTCAGGAACATGCCACCACAAGAAGGCACAGTTGTTGTATACTGCTGGGCCTCTACTTGTTACAGCAAAAGAAGGTAACAAGGGGGCGGATAACCCATAGAAGGCCCCATTCCTAGCACTGACAGCAGTGTCCCTTGAAAGGCCATGTGTGGGGGAAGGAAAAGCAAATGCTTGCTACTTTATAGCAGTGTTTCTGTGGTTAAGTTTTTTATTTTTCTGAGCCTCAGTTTTCCCATCAGTAAAATGAATCTGGCAATGTCCAATTTAGAGTTGTTGTGAGGATTAAATGAGATAATGGATGTAAAGGTCTTGGTGCATAGGAGGGGCTCATATGTGCTCATAGCAGATGAAAGCCATCATGATGACTTTTTCATATGAGAGGTAACTTGTCGTCAGGATTTGAGTGTATCAGGATTTGAATGCCGCAGAAGTGGCTGTGGAGCAACTGGAAAAGCAGAGCCTTCTGGTTCTAAGCAAGCTTGAGCTATATGGAACCCTTAGCCCATTTCGACTTTATGACCCTCTCAATGCCTCCATTCTCTCCCACTCCTTTCCTCAGCCCTATCTCTATCCTTGCTCTTTCTCTGTTTGAGCTTAGCAATTACACTGAGAAAAATCAGTGAGGCCATAGTCCCTAAGCATACTGAACAAAAGCCTCTTGGCCCTGCACATCCAATACACACATCTGGTACAGTCCTTCATCCTGCAAAGGGGTATTTCTTCAAGGACAAACCCATAGGAAGGAACACTTTCCACCCCGCCCCTGCCCCAAACAGATGTGTCTTCCTAATGAAAAGCTTTGCAACCTTCCTCATAGAACAGACATCAGAGGGTGCTGAGGATAACCCCCTCATGTTAAGAATGAAGGGCTGGAACTCATTTCACTGTCAAAGAACTTTATCTAGCTGATGAAACCAATATGGCAGGTCTGAAGCTTTGGGAGCTGTCCAGAGTTCTGACTGACTCTAGAGCTCAGTCATCCGGACCCCATTCCTGGCTAGAACTCCTCCTGCTTTATTTTATGTATTTATTTGATTTAATTAACAACACTTAACAAACTCTTACTACACATTGAGATTGTTATATGTGCTTTACAAATATTAACTCATATAATTCTCATAACAAGACAAAAAGGGTATAATTATTATTATTTCCATTTTATAGACAAGGAAACAGACACAGAGTAGCTGAGTAATTCAAGTCACTGGCTAGAGCCAGGATTCAAACCCAAATATACTATTTGCAGAGTCTTGAAATCCTGCCATGCCAACATCCTGCCCTGGACATGCTATATTGGCTGCCCACACTCCAGCCCGGCACCACACTCACCCAGACCATTTCCTGAGCCTGGCATGTTCCATCTGGGAGCTGGTTTACACCTATAAGTAGCACTGTGTACTGAAAACAGCCCTGACCAGGTTCCAGTACAGATTCTGTTACACGTGAGCATTGTGCTTTTGAACACATCCTTCAACCACTGTGCCTGCTTTCTAGTTTCTTAAATGGTAATAACAACTCTGGCTCTATAGCTCATTCTAACAAGCTGCCATGGGGACAAATAATAAATTTGACAAGACTACACAAGTCAGATGCTTTAAACTAATATAAGGTGGTATTATTCTTGGGGAAGCAGACTCGTTAGGTGATTATGAGCTCAATTCTGGTGTGAGATTGACTATTTTCAATCCTGGACCCACCATCTGCTAATGATATGACCTTGGACAAGTAACTTCAGTTTCATGAATGCATACTCTACAATGAAGTAAGTGCTATCTCTAGGGTGTATCGAAGGCTACCAGAACCCTGTGGGGTCTCCCAACACTCTGGAGGTCTGAGCATGCCTACTTAGTAGGTGTGATGTGACCTGGGCCTCTTTCCTTTCTTTTCCTAATTCTGGCTATGGCCCTGCTCCATCTTTGGCTCTTGGCCTTTTTTCTGTTTTCTATCAAATCTGTCTTTCTGGGACCAGATGCGGTGGCTCACGCATGTAATCCCAGCACTTTGGGAGGTCAAAGCCGGTGAATTGCATAAGCTAGGAGTTCAAGACCAGCCTGGGCAACATAGCAAAACCTCATCTTCACCAAAAATTAAAAAAAATTAAAAATTAGTCAGACGTGATGGCATGCACCCATAGTCCCAGCTACTTGGGATGCTGAGATGAAAGGATTGCCTGAACCAGGAAGGTTGAGACTGCATGAGACGTGATCATTATGATTATGCCATTGCACTCCAGCCTGGGTAACAGCGTGAGACTCAACTCAAAAAAAAAAATCTGTCTTTCTCTCACAGGCTCTTGTGATTGTTCTCCATGCTTTGCATCTGGCCTGTCCCACTCAGATCTGGTCTCACTGGATCCCTTTCTACAGGTCTCTGTCTCTCTGGGTCCTTGTTTCTTGCTCTCTCTGGGTTTCTCTTTCTTTCCCTGGGTCTCCCTCCACAGGATCTCTCCTGACCTCCATGTAAGTCTTCCCTGCTCCCTCTGGTGTTCTCCCTCCCCTCTGAGTCACGGTCTCTCTGTCTTCTCTTGGTGTGTGTGTGTGTGTGTGTGTCCCTCTCTGTCTCTCCCTCTCTGCTTTCTTGAACCTTCTTCAGCTTTCTTGGACTCCCTACCTCTCCACTCCATCCCTGTCTCTCTGCTGCTTGGCACATGCCCCATCCCCCCTACCCCGACATGCTTTCTCTCCCACACTCGGCTTTCATATCTTCAGTCTGGCAACAATGGACTTGTCCCCTGAGAGACAGCAAGAACACACACACACCAGAAGAAGCAGCAGCTGAAATAGCTCCTTTTGGAGCCATTCAAGCAAAGAGGGAGCTGCTGGGCTCAGTTCTGGGCTCCCCTCTATGTCCCTTCATTATAGGACATACCTCCAACAGGATCCACAAGGCACAATGGGCTCGTTTGGCTAAATGTCCTGGTTATCGATTTTGCTTTTCATCTTCTGGTGACTGTCCCCTGCATGCTAATTCTCCTCCCTGGTGACTTCTGATGCAGACATAGTTTTAGCATTCATGCCATCCCCACTGAGCCCCATTCCAGCTCAGATGGAGCACCAGGCTGAGCCTCACCCACTGTCACCACAATCCTGGCCTTGACCCCAGATTGACTCCAACCCTAGCTAAAGCCTGTATCTACCACTTGTAAGCACATCCTCCAATGCCATAGGGAAGCCCTTCTTCCTACCCCGGGCCTCTATCTGCTGGATCTACAGACAGAGTAGGGATTCTCCTTGTCCCATTCCAGGAAGTCTTTACCCCCAGCCATGGAGCCCAGGGCGTGATCACCTTCTCCAGATGGCCCATCAACACCACCCATCATCAGGCCCACCACATCAATCTTGCCAAGGACCTAGATACATATTGCTTGAGGGCTCTGGTATACAAGATGGCTAACCCTCACCTTGCATGCTTAACACAAGCCGCATCTTGCACCCGTGGACATCACTAGTACTCTCTCTTCATCGACAGGTGCAGTCCCCACTCAGCCCGTCCCCAGAAGCCTTTGGGGCTGGCTCCAAGGCATTCTCTTCTCCCTTTCCCCTCCCCTAATGGAAGAAAAACAGAGCGGGGCCTGGAGTCCATGACACACCAGTGGTTTGCTTCTGTGATGGCTCCTTTGCCCAGGAATAATCACCAAACTTCCCACAATGATATCCTTTCACTCCATCCATGAGACAGACAATTCTACTCCTGCCATTTTACAGACAAATCTGAGGCTCAGAGACTCAAGACTTGCCTGAGATCAGATGGCAGCCAGTCACAGGAACAACCTTGATGGAAATGGGTTTTCTGTTCCAGAGGGCCACACTACATTCTTCTACTCCTGCTTCTCTCCCCTTAAGGTTAGAAACTCCCCAGGAGGCTATGTGATCACAGCAAAAGCCCAGATGTGGAGAAGACCTAGCACGCGCCTCCCTCCGTTTTCTATAAGACCCGACCATGCCTGACAGCCTTTGTCTGTAAAATGGGATAATATAGTCCAGCACTGCCTTACTCTCCTGGTTGCTATGGGAAACCAGGAGATAGAACCATGAGCAGGTTCTGCAACAGAGCCCAGCAACTCGGCCCCAGCCTCCCACCTGGTAGCGGGTGGGGAGAACCAGCCAGGTCAGGTATTGAAAGTGCAAGAAATTGAGAACATAGAAGATGGGGGTTGGGGTTTGGGGCATGCTCCTGCTAAGGGACAGTCCCATGTTTTGCTATTGGTCAAGCTACCCAGGGCCAAATGTGCCCTGAAAATAAACCCTGGCTCTACCACTGCCACCACCATCACACCCAATCCTGGCCCTGCCAACATTTTCCTCCCTGTGGCTGTCAGGGCCTGGCCTGCTTATGCATATTCATGGAGGTGGAGGCTGCTATTCAGAAGCTGTGGGTGGGGAAAACCAAAAGGAAACAATTATTTCCCATCCAAGGGAGGGAATGGACCTGGACACTATAGCCAAGAGGGCCTTGTAAAGCCATTTGGGAGCCTCAGGGAACATTTAGAAAAGAGCCTTCAAGGTGAACTCCTCATTTTGCAGATATAGAACTGGCCACAGAGAACTTCAGGGGAAGGGCTGAACTAAGAATTCTCCTGCTTGTGTGTTCAAGCACTAACACTATCTCCCAGTCATTCAGCGCACATAAGCACCTGGTTTGTACCTGGATAGTTGGTGACTCTCATTGGAGTGTTCTTTGCATCTGAGTAGAAGGTTAAAGTTAAGGAAGCATCTGATATTTTCTAAATGAAGGCATACACTTTGCTCTAGTTGTGACCTAGGCTTGACATATTCAACCACACCCCAAATAAGCTTATCCGACCCCAATCTGACGCCACAGTAGCCACTCTGGCCCCAACCTTGCAT